CTTAAACAAATAATGACCATGTGGCTTGACCAGACATCTTGGCTGGTAACTGACCTCATCAAGATGGAAGCAGCCATATAACTTGATGAAAACAACCATCTTTGCTAATGTTATAAAGAAAGCAAATGCCATGTGACTTCACCACCATCTTGGTTAATATGACCACACGGCATAAGCAACTGTGGCAGCTCCCTTAAAAATCCCAGTCCTACTGAACCTTCTGCCTGCCTTTGTATCTCTTTTTTATTCGATTAAAGAAGTAAAGGCCTCCAAGATTATTTATCATTTTATTTTCCTTAGACTAAGGAGGCAACAGCAGGCCTCTAAGATGGTTTATTTTATTTTATTTTCCCTAGTCTAAGAAGGCCTCCAAGGTACTTTGGATAAGGGTGGATTTTTATTTGTATGATGATTTTTGTACAGAAAGTGAAAAAACAACCAGTGAGGATAAAACTATGAACAAAGTTTATGGAAAATAGGACTTAGGAACAACGTATGTTTGATGATTAAGGTCTATAAATTCCTAAGATTATAAAAATCTATCAGGCTAACAGAAACTGACTTAAAGATGTATTTCTAACCATTTACATCTTTGCTAATTTGGTTTAACTTTAGCCATTTGGAGAACCTGAATCATATAAAAAAAAAACCCTGTGGTATTTCATAAAAGTATACTATGAAAGCATCAGGGATAGAAAATATAATACATATACACAGTGAAATTTTTTTCAAGCTGTGAAGAAAAATGAAACTGTGACATTTGTTGGAAAGTTAATGCAATAGAAAGTCATTGTGCTAGGCAAAATAAGACAGACTCGGAAAAACAAATAACACATTTTCTCTCACATGCAAAATATAGACTTTTACTGTGCCTACATAGTACGTACGTATGTACGTGTGTGTAGGTCATGAAAGCTGAAATGGGAACATGTCAGAAGAGGAAGCAATCTTAAGGAAGATAGGTGGGTGGGGAAGAAAACATAAAGGAACTTATGTGACATAGAAGAGAAAATTGTGGGGAAGAATGATACTAGGAGGAAGGGGCAGGAAGGAAGGAAAAGGCATGAGAAGAAGATGAATAAGAAAAAAGTATAATGACAAAATATGTATGGAAATTCCATAGTAAAAAAACATCACTCTGCATGCTAAAAAAAAACCACTAGAATCAAATGGCATAATTTTTAAAAGAAAAAAGACAAAATTGATTACTGTGTTACATTTTGCTTGACCACATTCTCTCTCTTGGTCTCACTGTTCTTCTAAGAATTGAATGACACTCTGTGTGGGATGGCATTTATATAGTGAATATTTTGCTCTGTGCAAATCTGGTGTTTATTAACAAATAATCAAATAAACTAGATAAATTCATTGTTGGCGAGTTGTCCTTAGGTGGCTATAATGTATACACACATCTTAAGACCCTCTCTATCTTAAACTGGAGATTTGCAAGTATTTTCTTAGAAGTGGCTCAAGAGCCAGTGTGCATCTCTACCCTCTACTTTGAGTGATACTTTTGTCTGTTTTATGTTCCTGCATGTTCCCTCAAAAAAATGAAAACTGCTGTTTACTGCCTTTAGCCAAGAGTCTACATGTGGCTAATGAAAAACAGGCTACTGGTGTTTAGAAAATATGGCTTTTTAAGACCTTCATGACCTTAAAATCTTCTACCTAATCTGCTTCTCCACAGCCAGGACCAGCTGTGACAACACACTGGGAAATTAAAATCTCATGACTCCATACTTTTCCTCTTCTCCACAACCATTGCCCTCTGGCTTCCTTCAGCAACCCAACAGCCAGCCTTCAATGTAGACTCTCTGGACTTTCTCCCCTCAATTATGTGTGTAAAAGCTTGTTCCCTATGTTACCAACAAAGAACATTCATTAGTCTCTTCCAAATCACAATTCCCAGGGCTGCCCGAACTTCTTCACTCAATTGATCCCCAGTGCATGTTCTCAGTTCAGCAGATATAGCCTGTACCATTCCGAGCAAAGCATCATCTGGGGCTAAGAGGGTTCACAGTCTGCCTTCTGAGGCCATCAGCTCCATGTACTCCAGACTAGGAAAATTCAGGACTGCTTTTCTCCTCAAAGTCCTTCCAATTATTGACCCTGTTTTTAAAAGATAGGATGTTCAGACACTTGGTTTCTGCTTCAGTCTGAATGAGTTAGAGAACAGAGATCAGGTCCCTACTATACTGAGAAGAGATGGGAAGGCAGACGGCTACTTCTTATGAAGAGGAGCCTTAGAAGGTCACAGGTTTCTGTAACATGGACAGAGTGATGGCAGCAAATGGAGAAGATGCAATACAACTTACATCATTTTCTAATTATGTAGCTTGTAAGTTTTATCTACCTTTAGATAAAATTCCTACTGTAATCTTTTAGATAGGTAAGAAAATGTGTTTCATATTCATACCTTCAGTGACATTGCTTTTCAAACAGTTGCAGGTGTGAATGCTCAGACTTTTCCTCAAGATTCCTGGTTGGTAACTAAAAGATCAAGAGTATTCACTGTGTATGTTTTTATTGTGTGTGCATGTGTGGATGTTTTCCTTGTAGGAATATCTGTGTACCACTCATGTGCCTGGTGGTTCTGGAGGAAAGGGCATCAGATACCCTGGAACTGGAGGTACAGATGGTTGTGAGCATCTGTGTGGGTGCTGGAAATCAAACCTAGATCCTCTTGGAAAAGCAGCCAGTGCTTTTAACCTCTGAGCCATCTCTCCAACCCCACATGTAACTTTTCTTGACCCTTTATTTCAACTATGGATTGCAATCCACTAAAAGGCCATGATATCAATTTAGTGGGTTGAAAGCAACATTTAGGGGAAAAAAGTAAAGTACAATAAAATAAAGTTGAAAATTTATAACATGTACAGCAAAAGTGTCCTGTAAAACCTTAAGTTTTATTTGCATTTATATACAGAATGTAAAAATAATCCTGTTCAAATATGCTTGAAAGCTACTATCTTTTGGATATTTATAAAAACTGTAACTAGGAAATGTCCTAAATAAAGCAATAAGAATATTCCCAGATAATGTGATTCTTAATCACATGAGCTCACAAATAAGGAGTCCTGAAATGCACATGAAGTGTCACATATAGATTCTCTTTAAAGACCTTGTATCAGCTCATACTGGTGACACACACTGTACTTGAAATGAGGAGGCAGAGCAATCAGAAGTTCAAGGCCATCCTTGGCTATACATGTTGATGTCATCCTGGGCTACATGAGACCTTGCCTCAATAAAAGCAGAGAGAGAAAGAAACTTAGGTCATGGCTTCATTTGATTTCCTGTAAAAATCCACACATTTACATATACAAAATGTTTTATATGTGATCTAATGTATTATCAGAGAAAGCAAATCTAATCTAGAAATTAATGAGTCCCTGCTTTTAAACGCCTGCTTTAAAAAATTCTTTTTTTTTTTT